ATCGCGACTCGTGGGAGCGCTTAAAAAACCCGAAGATATATGCGAGCCGCGTGCGGGCGATTGCCAGCGGTCCTTTGGGACGACCTGGGCCGCCCGACTCACCTGCCGACGAGATGAGATTACCCCAGACCTGCGCCATCTGGTAGAACATGAAGAAGAGGCCGAAGAACCTCGTGACAAGGATGTCGACGCTGAGGTCCGAGACGGTCGCGTAAGCCTCGGCGACGACCGTCAGGTAAGTACACTTGGCGCACCAGAGGGGACCGCCACCAAGGCCCACCGCCAGGCCCGCGGGAATCATCGTGTAGAAGCGCGGATAGAACTGGGCAGCGATGAATGGCATATAGGCGGCAAACGTCAAGGCGATCGTCCACTTGCAGCCGAGCCAACTGCAACAGTCGTCGAGAAATCATTGATTTGGATTGACTGGATTTTTTATTGGAAGATTGTTTTTGCTTTCTTTTTGTGCTCCGTTTTGGTTAGTGCTCCGTTTGCCGACGCACGACCCCTCATCTCTATAAGTAAGACGGTATTACGTTAATGTCGATATTGTGTATCACTAGCTAAATGGCATGTCGTACCCCAAGTCTTATCGCGAGCACAAAATTTAAAAATTAGTGTGCGTCTGTCAAGTCAATTATGAAGTCGGACAAAATAATTGCGCGCGAGCAATGTATTAAGGAGAATGGGATGCTCTTATATTTCTCTCGTCTATTCTTCGAGTCCATTAATTGCAAATCTCTTTCGGGAGATCATTAGAAAGAATGGAAAACCGATTACTCGCTGCGATCAATTGATCAAATGCGGCAAATGATTTTATATTATTTTAATGAAATTGTCGATGCATGTAGGAGATGCACTATCATTAGTTTGAAATAAAATTGACGTATTTACCGATACAATTTTTCATCAGCGCGCTTTCTATGATTACGGCAGTTTCAAGATTCTGATAAAAAATTACTATACAATACGTCAAAGGTATGCATGTTTATTATCATAACCCATCGGATTAATAATATTACTAATAGAACTGGGTTAATTAAAATCTGTGTCAGTATTCTAATTAACCGATTGAACTCGAGGAATTCCAAGAGTTCGAATAATGTTGGAAATATGTTTCATTGCATTAAAGGGAAATTATTTACTCGATAAATTTATTAACATTGAATTGTCGTATTAGGCAGTTTGAAAAATTAAAAAAAAAATTTTTTTTATAAACTAAAAGTAATATTTGGTGAAGACTATCCTTCCTGTCAATACTGAATTCTACAGGATAATTAAAAAACGTGAAAATGAGTGCCAAACTTTTTTATTTATAAAGAAACTTTATAATTTATGATCGTAATATCACAATTTTAATAAGAGAGATCAAAGTAACTAGTCGTTGTACGCTAAAAACAATGAAACTGAAGAAGGAAAATATATTTCAATAATATCGTATTAATAATGGCAAAATAAATTGAACTAATTATGAAATATTTTTGTAGTAAATGTTCAGACGAATAATTCAGACGATTCAAATCTTTTGGCTTATATTTAATATTTAATAAAAGTATTCAAACATAAATTGTTCTCGAAATTCAAATGGTTTATTTCCTTGATTCACTTAGTTCTTTCAAATGTTTATTTTTCTTGAGCTACTCATTTAAGAAATCCTGCATAAAATATCAAAACTACAATAAATATATTGTTTACCTTAATATCGTATTATTGTACAAATATTGATAATTATTTAAAGAATATGATTCTAATGACAAATACTATGATCCTTCAATTTAGAAATATTTATACTAATTTGATTATATAATTATCGATGGATAATTGTTTATAATTTTCAAGAGATATAAAGATACTATTGTCAAAATTAATTTGAATTCTTGTTTTTCTGTATTTTTACAGATTCGTAATTACAGAAATAAATGATAAAATTAAGAATGCATAATAATATTATAATGTTATACTTTTTGTTCGAGCGAATGGAAAGATGTCAAAAATCCTTAAAATAATGAAATATTATAATATTATAATCTTATAAATATTATTATTAAGTTATAAAGCTATGATTTTCTCATTTACAACTATCTATTTTAAGTAAGGTAATGAATAATTGTTTCTTGTCAGTTAAAGACAGTTTAATCTGTAAAATATAAAGTGCAATGATTTACTATTGAGTTTTATATTACAAGCACAATTTTGAAATATAAAAGTATGAAAGATTTCCAAGGATCGCGCGAAATAATGTTATAAAATAAAATAATGTAATCATTGAATATAATACGGTTCAGTAAAAATTGTTAAGTTACAATGAAATATACGACACTTATGGTAAAGTTTTACTACTAGTTAAGATACTAGACAAAACATGATTAGACATTCGACTGAATTACAATTTGTGTAGCAAACGGTACTTGTCACTCTCAATAATACTCTAATAAAATAAAAACGGAAACAAAAACAAACTATAATAAAATTAAGCTAAAAGGTTTCATAAATATATGTTGTATTTTTAATTGAGTATTTTATGCTAATTTAATTTTGTTTTTCCCTTCGTGTAGCAACATATTTGACTTTACAATTAGAAGATTTCTTTATGAAGATGATTAAAGCTTCCAGTTTCTTTATTTTAATATATAATTACTTCTAATTAATTTTTTTGATCTCATTATGAGAATTTCATAAAATATTCAATGCTTTCTAAATTCGTCTAGCTATAGTTTTTGCTTCGTTAATATATTTACTTAAAAATCAGTGTATAATTCATGATTTAAAATAATTTTATAATTAATTACGTTACGAATGATTTTTCGAGATTACCTTATTATCAGCATAGGTAAAAATATATTACTAAAGATTAAACTTCCATATATAGAAGCTAATGTGAATGTTCCCAGTGAATTGTCGGCATTGATGGAACTTTGTAGATTACTGGCACCCATAAACGCCATAAAATGGATCATGAATGCGAAGCCAATAATTAGAATATTTTTCATGATCCGCCATCGTTCGGATGGCTGAAAACCATTCGGTTTCACTTCTATGAATTTCGGTGATAATTCCATTTTTATTCTTAATGCCGTAAGCTTCTTGTGAGTCGAACTTCTGGAAAATTTATTTTTATTTTATTAATTCATCAATAATATAATACTTAGTAAATATTAAATGCAAGAAATTTATTATTCTAGCTGATGTTGTAATCATATTTTAAGAATAATGTTAATGTAAAGCTTATTATTTTCTAATATCAACTATCATTCTATTCCAAAAAATTTAATGGTCATAATAAATAAGATTTGTTACTGCATCACCTATATATAAATTTTTTATTAAATATGATGAATTATTATGCAATTGTTTTATTATTTTTTTTTTATTCTAAATATGAATAATCAATATTTTTCTATGTATTAAATTCAAATTAAATATAAAAAAAAATTATTTCTATTATTTTTATTAATTCTTTTTTTTTAATTTTATAGTTAAGCACAAAAATTATCATCCGTCTTTCTGATCTCATACTTCAATACTAAAATACTTTCAATTTTATCTCATTCTACTCCTCTCTTAAGAATAGTTTCTTAAATTATATAATTAGTCGTACAGAGGTATTCTGAATAAATATAATTATTTGCAATTTTAATAGCTTGGAATAATAGTAACTTTTATAATAACTTTATGTTTTCTAATCGAATATTGTTTTTCATATAATCAGATATCTAAAAACTATTGAAAACATTTTGTATTTTCTACAATGTAAATTAAATTTTTACAAAAAAAATATAATTTAAAAATGATTAAAAGTATAAAATTATTTTTCCGATAAATAATGATAATAATGATAATAATGATAATAATAATAATAATAATAATAATAATAATAATAATAATAAAGAGGAAAAAATACGTATTCTTTAGCATTAAATTACTAGATACGTGGATAGAAAAAAGTTTTCGAGATATTTAAACGTCTGAATATATTAAAATTTATTTACGATAAATATAAATTTTTTTAATTGTCGCAATCTATGCGGACATCAGTATCTCGCGATCGATATATATATATATATATATATATATATATATATATATATATATATATGTTAGGAAGTATATATTAAATTAAATGTATACAATTTGTATTGCCAGTCTTTAGCCTAATCAATATTAATATTGTATTTGCATTTCATATGTCTTGTACGGATGATAAACTTTAATAGATATGATGGGTGTGGTGCATTATTTTAGAGTATTCACATTATTATTGATTTTATTATTCATCGATAAAAAGTGGCCTAATAGAGTTTAAAATTAGCAAAATATTATAAGTAGATAAGACTAGATTATATAATAATTTTTTTCTTATTCGATTAATTAAATAGCAATTAACTATACTAATAATAGATTCAATCGATATAAAGTTTTTTTTGTAATTCATTTCCTTTGCATTTCGGCATTTACTCTCTCTCTCTCTCTCTCTCTCTCTCTCTCTCGCTCATGGCTAATAATGTTTTATTTGCAAGGTTCTATTTAAAAATTTCTTTCGCCCTTCCATGCACCAGTTACGTCCCTTAGTTATCTACAGTTATCTACGCGTATGACTTCATAATAATATCGAAAAGGGTTTGTCTGCATTCGCTTCGATATTTTTGTAATAAGATCTACGACAGGTAGGCTGTTTATCACTAGACACGATTACACTGTAAAACGGCGCAGGTGCTTGTAGTGGCAATTGTCCATCCGTCAGGACTTTCCACGTCTTGTCCTTCCGACGCTTTTCAACTCATTTTGTATCATCACTGCCGCGCGATGAGATCATATATTCGGACTGTCAAGCGTACAGAATTTGAAATTTACTTACGATACATTATGCTCCACGAATAAATTATTTAAAACAATTCAGCTCGAGAATTTTGCATATTCAGCTTTTCCCTGATGGCACATTGTGATTGGAATATGATTTTCGATGGGAATTTAATTAATAATTAGCCTCATGAACGAGTTCCTACTTTCTTTTATTGATACATTACTTTCCGGAGTATCATGAAAATCGATGAATACAATAATGAATAAAAATTGTAGAATCGATTTTTAAAAAAGAAAATGCAATCGATATCTTCTTACATTTATCTCATTTACATTTGTATACATATTCCGATTTGCATGTAATTCTCAGTTATTTAAATAAAAGAATAATAGTAAGATATAAATAGTAAAATCTGTTTTTTCTTTCAATCTTACGGACGCCTTATAATTTTCGTTTAAATTAAATAATTAATAAAACTAAAATCTATATAAATTATAAATTGATAATAATAAATTGTCTGCTGTAAAAGGACACGGCAGAGATCAAATAATTTTTAACATATACGTTTTATTAATTCATTTTATTTAGCAGAAACAAATGAAAATTAAATAAATAATTTTAATCTTCCATTGGTCAATAAACTAAATCAAATAACAATGAAATTTTATTTTAATATCATTCTCATCATGCATACAATATTAAAATATACTCTTCTATTACACTTTATTTTGAAAACGATAAAAGGATCGATTCATTATTTTTATTCATTACACGCTATTATTTATATTGAATTTTATAATTTAGATCTTTATATTCCTTATTAATTAAGATTATTTCAAATTAAAGTAATTCTATAAATAAGGAATACTTTAACTCTTCCTGATTTCATGCTAAAAAATTTTTACATGTTTTTTTATAATAATTCTTCTTAGTGCCACGCTTTAAAAGAAATTGAATTCGTGTTTAGATATTATAAATTTTGTTATTTTTACTTACTAATATCATTGTTATATTTATTCATAAATTTAGAGAATTAATAAATGAAAATCGTAAAAAAAAAATTTGTCATGATTTTTCAAATGATTTAGAAATATTTTCACTCTCAAGATTCACAAGAGTAAATTAAAAAATTCTTTAGGTAAAAATTCAAAATTATCAATGACCTATGTATCAATAATTTGAGGGGATAAATATTACTGAATTGACGAAGACTTATTTGTTACAAAATCATATTATTATAAATAACTATGATAAACTGAACGTGAGGAAGCTTTCAAAACAACATTTAACGTTTACCGTTACAATATATAGTAAATGTTTATTATATTTTCACTTGGTTCGCTTAAAATATTCGATTCTTTAAGAACTTTTAAAACAATGTCACATTAACATACAGTTGATATAGTAGTATAATCAAGGATCTATCTCGTCATATCTAAATGTAATTTCGGTGAATAAGAAGACAGATATTAGAAAACTTTTTGCGATTTTGAAAAAAGTTAGGAAAAAATAAGGTTAATTTCTGTGTCATGATTGCACAATCGATAAACATAATCGGATTTTTCATTGTTCGCAACGTTAGAATTCAGCAGTATGGGCCAGATTAATGCGAGGGATCGCGGAAATAAATATTAGTTTGCTCTTACATTAGTTTATAGACATTGACAAATATATTACTGCTCTTTGCATAAGCGCCAAAGGGTCCCGTTTACTTTCGGCTTACTTTACCAACGTATCCTGGCATAATCTTCAATTGGCACTCAGTATTAATGCACCAGTTCGGCAAATGAAAAAGCACAGGCTTAGGAAGGAGCGCGGCAATGGTGTGCAACGCGATACAAAGGCCGGATTCGCGTCGCACATTAACCGAAGCTCGATTTATCCGATATGCAGGCACTGTTGGTGAAACTGTGTTATTTCGTTCACAGGCACGTGGTTAGTCGCTTAATCTGGAGACACCTACACATTTGTTATGTAGGGTATTGCATCAACAAATGTCGACTGATCTCCGCGCGGTCGAGAGCGGCCGCTTTACCTACTAGATGGGCATGTATCCTTGAAAAATATCTCTAAACCTTTCACGCCAATGCTTGCGCGCATTAATCCATGTGAAATGTATTATTGTAAAAAGATTAATAGAATAATTATAATTGGAACGGATAATTAATTATAATTTTTCTACAGCAAGTGATGCATGCACGAGCCTCTTGTTATTCAGTTTTTTTTTCAGCGTTAAAAAATTACTTACGCAATTAGTTTTTTCTTTCTTTTTATTAATACAATTGTTTTTTATTTTTTTCTTTTTTTTGAATTTTTAATGACAATATTTATAAACGGTAATGACAGCAAAATCATTATAGTAATAAGGTGCGATACAATGTTTTTGCGTGATTGTACGAGGAAAATATCGTGACTGTTTTTTTTTTTATCGTGTATTATGTATTTGGATAACAAAGCAATAGATTTTCTTCTCGCCTGCAAGGAAGAGGAATAAACTAGAAATGGAAATATATTTGTGCTTTAAAAAATCATAAATTAACTTCTTCAATAGAATAAGTTTCGGTTCTTTCATTAATGGTCGCTACTGCAAAAAGACAAGTATTAATTCGACATGAATTATTAGTTTTAGTGGCAAACGACACTCGATTCTTTTTCTTTTTTCTCCTTACATTACTATATTTCGTGGCACATATCGAGTGTTTTTGTTAATACACTTATAGGAATGGTACATAAATTAATTAACAATTAGGGTTAAGTATCAGAAGATAAGAAGAAATGATGGAGACTTATAGAAAGTTTGAGTGCGTAGTTTCCAATTATTCTTAAACGCCCGTTTTTTAATATATTTTTTAAAAGATTGATTCTAGCAGAAAATGTTCGACTACATCATAAATTTATCCCAATGAATCAATATCTCATTTTCCCTATTAATATAGGGAAAAAGAATATTTCATTGATTGAGAAGAAATCATAAATTAGCAAAGTTCCTAATAATTATTCTAATACTAAATTACTAAAACTTTATCCTGAGGTAATTTCCTTTGTAATAAGGCTTCTAATATCGCGACATTTATACTATTATACTGAATTCTAAAGAGGGACAAGGTGAAGATAATCATAAGTTTCAAAGTATTCCATATTAGTTAAATATGGTAACAGAATTTAATTTGCTAAATAATTTCAATTGAATATAATTTAAGGTTTCTATATAATGAATGCTTTAATAAAAATGGAAAAAATAAAACTTTCGATAGAGCGTGATTATGTATTTGTAATAAAATTATGCGAAAAA